CCAGAAACGCCTTGCTCCTAGGAACGCTCTGCTCCCAGAAACGCTCTGCTCCCAGAAACGCCTTGCTCCTAGGAACGCTCTGCTCCCAGAAACGCCCTGCTCCTAGGAACGCCCTGCTTCTAGGAACGTTCTGCTCCTAGAAACGCTCTGCTTCTAGGAACGCCCTGCTCCTAGAAACGCCCTGCTCCTAGAAACACCCTGCTCCTAGGAACGTTCTGCTCCCAGAAACGCTCTGCTCCCAGAAACGCTCTGCTCCTAGGAACGCTCTGCTCCCAGAAACGCCTTGCTCCTAGGAACGCTCTGCTCCTAGGAACGCCCTGCTCCTAAGAACGCTCTGCTCCCAGAAACATCCTGTCGCGTTTGAACATGGTCTAACTCTTGGTAAGTTGCCAATTTCCCTACATGATATTACGAACTTGGGTCAATCTGAATCTCAAACGTCTTGATGATCTTAGGAAAGACGATGCAGAGAGGATAGCTAGACTTCCAATGCACATGATATCATCCAATGGAGGCCTTGATGGAGGCTGTCCGGCTGCATATACGGTAAAGTACTCCTGATGATGCGGGCACCTGCAGCCATCACAACTACTTCCAGGACCTATGTCTGTGGCTAACAAGGCCGAATAATGCAAGGTTAGAGATTTTCCATGGCTATGCCTGAAGCTCTCTCTTAGTGTCACTCTGCATGAGCTCCACTATACGGAACTGGTTCATGATGTAGAGCAGATACAAAAGGTGCGAGCCCCCCATATTCAAGACTGCACTAACTCTTGTCACCATGGCACCCTTCTTATCAGTCAGCCTTGCGATTTGCTTTTCAGTTGGACCTATACTAAGCAGCACGCTCACTTACCTCGATATCAGAAATCTATCCAGAGCGGAAGGTCAGGTCTCTGAGTACGATTACCGTTGGGAGAGAATTATAGGAATTATTGTCGGTACTAGTTCAGTAGGCCTAGGTATTACTGGACTCATTGCAACTGCGGCCGAACCCCATCCAGCAGAGATGTACTCCTGGCTTGACGCAATCATTATGTGTAATCTCCAACTTCTTACTAGCAGTAATGTGAGATAGTCTGCCTAGCTTGACAGCTCGTCTCCAACTAAGAGGAGCTTTAGCTCGTTCGAATGCTTCAGATCTTTATCTCTCCCCCCTGGAGCATATGGACGGTATATCTGGTGGCGGTCTTGACTATACTGGAAATTGCTTCCGCTGTTAAGTAGGTGAACTTAATTTGTATCTGAGGTTGTCTAAATACAAGTAGGGACAAAACAAAATCTTCTGCTTACGAGTCAGCACTGCTAACTCGTTTCGCTACTGCATCTCTTTTCTCCTCGGCACTCTCGCACAAGCAATTAGAGATCCACAAGAACTCAGGATCTGACTCCGGAGATCGAGACGAAGAATACATGCGGTTATTACATGCCTTCGTCTTTACAAATGCTGCAGCAGCATCTAGCCAATTTTGTAGTGCGATCTTCACCTCTAGCTTCTCACTTGCTGGTAGAAGCACTTCCACTAAACTACGACAAAGCATTTTCATAGTGAGTCTCTATCAAATTTTGTCTTGTTATCTAATTGTTGCTAGGCATGTACTTTTATACAGCTACTATGTTATCTCCCTTTCTATATTAATCGAATATGGCGTCGAATTATTGTGCCAATAAGTGATTGGATGAGAAGACTGGGCCACTCATTCCCATGCAGATTGGCAGACGAGAGTAACTTTTAAATAGTGCAATGGTAGAAAAAAGATTGCGAGGGAAACTCTATTCAGGGGCTATGTACCGATTCGTACGTCAGTTTGGCTAGAGATACGCTAATTATTATTATTCCATTATATTATTATTCCATTATAGTCCTGTATCAGCCGTTGGCTATGTAAGACTTTGGCCAAAGGCCGTTCTATCTGACTAGTTACAATTTGGTACGTTGTGCTGTATTGCGTGACTATGGTGCTTCGGCCTTTGTCTAGTTAAGCTAGTGCTAGCTTTCT